TTTGTTCTTTCTTGGATATTGAAGGAGCTTTTGACAACGCATCCTATTATTCTATGGTTGACGCCATGAAGAAAAGGAACTTCGACACGCATATCGTCAACTGGATTCATACTATGCTTGCAAAAAGAAAAGTCACTTCTGGGCTGGGAAGCTCATCTATAACAGTAAAGGCAACGAAAGGCTGTCCTCAAGGAGGAGCCCTCTCACCACTAAAGTGGTCTTTAGTTGTAGATGATCTTCTAAGAGGCCTAGAGGCGAAAGGTTTCGAAGTTGTCGGCTTTGCGGATATAGTCATCGTAGTTAGAGGAAAGTTTGACGCTATCATTTCAGAAAGAATGCAACAGGCTCTAAAGTTTACCCAATCTTGGTGTTTTAAGGAGGGCCTAAACATTAATCCGTCAAAAGTAGTAATCGTTCCTTTTACTAGAAAGAGGAAGTTCAAACTAAAGGAGTTCAAGCTTGGAGGAGAACAGATCCAGAAATAAATAAATAAATAAATAAATAAATAAATAAAAGTAACTTATGCTTCGTTAGTGTGTTGGCCAAAAACGAAAGAGGCTACCACACAGAGGAAGCTGGCAAAACTACAACGTCTAGCATGTATTGCTATAACGGGTGCGATGCGCAGCACCCCATCAAAAGCGTTAAATGTAATTCTCAATCTGTTGCCCTTGCATGAATACGTGCAATTAGAAGCAGAAAGAAGTGCTCTAAGGCTCAAAAGGTCTAAAAAAGTCATGCATGGTGACCTGGTTGATCACCTAAGCATTTTACAAAACTTCCAAAGAGGACCAGTGATGAGTATGAATGGAGACTGGAAGAAACTAGAGGACAATTATGACAATCCCTTCGACGTATGTGAAATGTTGCGTTCGGATTGGGAAGTCGGCGGTCCTAGCGTTCGTCAAGGCTCAATCATATTTTTCACAGATGGCTAAAAAATCGGAATACAAACAGGTGCAGGAATCTTTGGCCCTGGGACAAATATTTCAGTAGCGATGGGACATTGTCCAACCGTGTTTCAAGCGAAAAACGTGGCCATACTTGAATGTGTAAGTGTTTTCCTAAGGAGAAAATATAGATGTGCAAATATCTGTATTTTTCTGACAGTCAAGTAGCACTAAAAGCGCTTCGTGCTTACAAATGTACACGAAAGATTATCTGGGAATGTATTCTCTTGTTGCGACAGCTGTGCAAACAGACCTCAGTAAACTAATAGCGAATTCGTTTATGATCGAGGTTGGAACCAGTTCCAACCCAGTGCGAAACCGAACTTTTTGTCAGTGCGAACCTCAACCTGAGCTGGATTTTAAAAACAAACGATCAAACTGACGTTTGTCAGAAAACAAGCAGACCCAAGCTTGATACCCGATCCAGGTTGGAACTGAATAATAAACTAATTCGCCATTATATTGGGTTCCTGGACACTGTAACATTGAAGGGAATGAAAGGGCAAACGATCTTTTTTTTTCCTTTGGTTTGTTTTCCGTGCTGAGCACCAATGCTACCGACGCCAGAAGGCAGCTCCCACACCTGGACCCTACCTATCGATTCATCAACTCATGAACCGGGGACCAACGGCTTTACTTCCCCCCGAAGGAAGGCGTGATCAGAGATGTTATGCCTCAGAACATCCTGGCGGCGCCGACTGGGCGCAAAATTAGGTTCCAATTCACCGTTTATTGGCCCAGAACCATACTGTGGAATATCAAACTGTACGATAAAAATGGAACTCAAACGCTGGGAAGAACAAAGGGTGATGGCCATCCACGAAGTGCAACCAGTCGAAAAGATTTATAACTCCAAATGTAACACGTACCAAAAAGCTCTTGGAGATCAATAAATGGGCTCTTACCCAAGTAGCACATGTTGTCACATAAAACTTGCTGCCACTATTTTGCGACCAAATTATGTGTCGTAAAATCATTACAGTAACCATGAAGGCAACAGCAATGCAACTAAAAAAGCGCAAGATGTGAGTTGATATGTAACCAATTCAATGTTACAAAACTAGTTACACAGTAGCGATGAAATAATAATATTGGATTACATACAAATAAGTTAACTTGTACCGTTCATTAACTTTAGTTTAATTTTGACGATGATAGTTGTTTTACAGAGTAATTTTATGGGATAAACATTTTGAGGCGTTGTTAAAATTATAATAATCATTGGAGATATTTGCAACGAAAACACGTACCAGAGAAAGAAAAAATATGCAGTTTCATATGTACGGTGAAGTTGGGAGTTTTATATTGATAAAATAAATGCGCCATCTTTTATTTCAATTGATTTATTACCATATTTTTGATCATAAATGATTCGAAGTAAAAAATCGTTTGTGTACACTCAGTTTGAGAGTTACACCTCGAACAAAAAGTGTCATGATATGAACCATTACTTGAGATTATAAAAAAAACTCGTTATAATTAGTTTGTCCTTAAGGCTCAGCATTCACAATTGCATCACCATTAATTAAATATTTTACCATTTTGATAATTAAAAAAAGGAACAAACAAATAGATTGCTATTGGTGAAACATTTTAGAGCGGCAGTGTAGCTTTCATTTGCCCAGATCATAGAGATTGCATATGTGTTACCATCTGGTGACATGCGACTATTAGGGTCACGCTGAAACGAAAATGCAACTGTAATACTTACTTACTTGACTTGATATGTAACTGCATATATTTCATGGTTTCTTTTATGTAATAATTGTGTAACATGTTTCTCTTTCTTACTTATAAAAAGATGTTACAGGTGCTACTTGGGTAGTACATACACTGGCCTAGTAACTGCGCACTGTCCGAGAAGATATTATTTGAAGAACATTGGTCGGGTTCAGAGCGATATCTGCCGTTTCTGTAGCATAGAATGTGAAACCTCGGAAATCGGCTCTGCAGTTGCGGTGCATTACACAGGCGTAGATCTAAATTTCTTCGTAGTGTTATCTTACAACCTAGTGGAATTTGGTCTGCTAATCCTGGAAGGGTAATTGGTTTCATAAACCAAATCATACCTGACTGGGAAAGGACGTGTCCAGGCAATTAGCTGTCCACTCATTAAATGGTGGTCAGCTTGCATAATACAAACAGTAAACAGGGGTACCACAAAAGTTCAAATAATGGACGCAGTAGTTCAACTCCCCCCAAAAAAAAAAAAAAAAAGAAAAAAAAGAGTGCTCCCAGACTGAAAAATTCATTGCTCGACGAAAAGTACGTTTGATTAATCTATATTTTGCGTCTTTTATGACTCAAATTGAAGTCAAAATTGACGCTCGTATGTGTCAGTCTCAGAGCACCTAAATTTACATGAATTTTTCTAAGTGTGTAGATGTAAAAATTTTATGTATGTTTTCATGTAACATCTATGTGAAATAAATTTCTGAGTGTACGAATACAGCACCCATTGAAAGTTTTTGCTTCCTCCCTCCCTCTGTGCTCATTGCTCCTTACCGTCACGACAACATTTAATTGAATATTATAAAGGAAAGAATTTCTTGGGGTACCAACGTAAACCAGCGTATAGTCCATTCTATATCTGTATATTTATATGTAAGAGTATTGATGGTCCGAAAGTGAGGATAACAATAAAAAACAAACATTTTTGGCTAAAGCGAAAGTGAGGATAGTGCAAGTTATAAACGTCAAGAAAGGTCAATTGAAATAAAAATCATAAGATCGGTCCACCAAAGATCGATTCTTTGGAACTGATTTAATCAGTGGATCGATTCTAGAGCCAAATATAGGATCGATCTTTCTCTGAAGATTACCCAATCCTATAATAAACATCCAGTCACGAATGAACAAACATAAATGTTTACTTTGATACTCAGAGGTTTTCCTTGATCAAGAGAATTTGATTATGGCAAAATTCAGATTCATGCAGGTAGTTGGTTCATCTGTTAAGGTTAGAAGAAGGAATGATTTTTATCAGCACTAATCAGGAGCCCCGCCTTGGCCAAATCCCTAGCTCCGGCTACGGTCTTCACCAAACGCCGAGCGCATACGAGTCTTATAGTGATTCTAGATTATGCCGTGCCTTGTATATGATTCACACAGCATAGAGCCAACTGCTGCACCGGCAAGCACGCTCGGCCGATGATGGTGTCTGTTTGAAATAACTCAAACTACAGGACGATAAGATCTCTTGATGCTCCACTGGAAAATCTAGATTTCATGTTTCCTCCCGTCTGCCGTCCAATCAGGCATGAAGAGTAAAGGAAGATAGGAAAAATCGCAGATAATCGTCTACTGCATCCCCAGGGACTGCAAAAACCGCCCGCTCGTGAGTATGGATGTCACGTGAGGCTGATACGTTATCGATACTCGTTCCGATGGAGCTCCGAGCAGATCAAGGGCTTATAGTTTATCGTTATCCATGTGATGAAGGAACAAAAAAAAAACATATCTGAAAATTTTGAAGCAACGCTCGAGTAATCCTGCGACAATCGCTTCACCGAATAGGAGTTTGAAATCTTCCTTGCTCGTTACGGAGCTGAGCTTGATCGTGACCTTGTTTTCAAATGGCTACATTGTTCTCCATTCATCCCTTTTGCCGGATCCCTTGTCACCACAGACCGCCATGCCCAAAAGTTTCAGGATTCGGCCAACTGACGAAACGGATACCCAACCGAGCGATACGGGATGATGTAAAGTTTCCACTTCTCCGGAGCAATTAATCTTGATAAGATAGCGCAGAGTGTGTGCTGTGCGGTGAGGCATAGAAACGAGTAAATTTTCCGGCACTCCGTCTCGTTCGTTTTGGATGCCTCACTCCAAGGCTGGCAACAAGATGACCGAGGATCAAGTGGAATTAAAATCTTCAGGACCCATTTCAGTTACTCTGCCAAAGCGATGCATGCTGGTGATAGTTCCGAAGAAATGTCTCTGTTGTACGGTAAGCGACACGGGTGGTTTGAGAAAAGTCCAAAAGTGGGGACCACCCGGGGTTTGACATGAAGGCGAAAATTGGGTCAAATGGGAAAACAATTCACTCACCTGATTCAAGTGTGGTGGCAAGCAATATCGACGGCAAACACAGAATAATCAGCTTCAATTCCATCATCATCGCAGCCATGGTTTCTATCACTGTATGGTTCTTCTGATTCTCTTCTTTTTCACGACACACTCTCACTTCGCTTCACACTCGTCGGTTTATACTCAGTTGATAAATTCGCGTTATTCCAAGAAGACCAAACAACCACGGTGCTCTCAACGGGTCATTTTGCTGTTTCCGTTTTTCTCACAACAATCTCAGTTCCACGCATCCGACGGAAAATAGTTGTGCACCATCCGTCTGTCTGTCCGCCCTATTCGATTATCACATTATTTCACACTGAACGCCGTTTCCGTTCCGTTGCCTGGGCGTCGGATGGCGAAACTTTCTGATTTCCCAGGTTTCAACTTTTTCTGCTCACCAGAGGGTAAAATTAGTTCGGACAGCTGGCGTGCAGCTTCACTAGCATTATTATTACGACGACGACGACGACGACGACGACGATGGTTATGGCAGTCGGATGGACATCCCACGGTGTGACGTTATCATTACGCCTTCTCCACACCGGCTTCGCTCCGTGGCCTGATTGGGTGGAGAAAACTTTTCCCCCCTCCTTCCTTTTCCTCCTTCCTCGCAGTGATGGAGAAGGACCAGAGCAGCTCAGCTAATTTTCATTACACCATTTAAATCAATTGCCATCAAGTTTGCCTCCGGTGCTCCGACTGCCATAGTGGAAATAGAACAGCTCTCACCGTGGAATGCGTTTTTTCCCTCCCTCCAGGTTGTCGGTCGTCGGTGGTAAGGGAAATGAAAAGTTTTAATATCTCACTCTATCTCTTCGAAGGGTGTCCAGAGTAGCTACGATTGTTCACCACAACCAACTGCGGAGCAGAGAGCGAGAAAAAACTGGTGTTGAATTTTTCCGTTTCCGATTATAAATTTTCCCACCGCACTTTGATGATGAGATAATGCAGTTTTGCCTTGCCACCTAGTCTGGGTTCCGTCCGCTGAAGGCTACGAAGGAAGTGCTTTTATGGTAATGGCGAAAAGTTTTGCCCCCGCGAGTTTCCACTGCGATCACGTCCACGGATGGGAAACTCTTTCATTGATCTGTGATTATTTTCACCGGTTATCTGAAAAGGAAGCAGAAATGGGGAGATTATTGGAAAGTTAGCTTTGAATTCAATGGAATGGGTTAACTCTTTGTGTTGCTTCAGAAGATCTTGAATGAACAGTGCTTTATTTTCTAAAATTTGAGCTAAGTAGTTGCACCACCCTCAAAATGTTAATCTCTCTAAAATAACGATGCGCCCGCCCCGTGAAGTTTTAAACAAATTCAAGATCAACAATTGAAATGGACTTAACTCCATTTTGTAAACACACTTTGTAAGGCCATTTTCTCGTGAACCGAAGTCCGGAAAGGCAAACCAACATAATGAACAGGTATGGGAAATTCTCCTCTACCCGATTATCCTAGGTTTGCGGATGAAGGTTTCGGTTCGCGAGAAAATAGCATTACAAGGTTTGTTTACAAAATAGAGTTAAGGCTATTTCAATTGTTGGTCTTGAATTTTCTAGTGCGTAGTAAAAATTTGTTGTGAATATGTCCAGAGGAAAATTGAACAGCATCAAACCAACAGTAAAGAGTTATGGGAAATTTTGCAATCTTTATTAAAACCTAGCAATTGCAAACCGTGGTCCATAACTTTGAATGGCACATTAGAACAGTCAGAACAAGTAATTGCATCATGTTTATTCAAACGACAGTGGTTCATTGATTGATCAATCCATGAAATTGATCGATGATCTGACGAAATATAACAGTCGGGTCATAGTAGCTGTACATTAGAATGATCTTAGAGCTATTTGCTTTTCATTAGGAAAATCGGCTGGAGTCGATAATTTAATCGATAATCTTGCTGGATCTCAAAGTTTATGGAACGACTAAAGCCGGAGAATTTCGTCCCATCAACATGTTGGATAGATCAGAGACAGTTTTAGAACTTGTTGTGAAAAGCCAGCTGTTGGAGTATTTAAATAGTAATAGTTTGTTGATACAACAACAATCGGGATATCGGGGAGGTCATTATTGTGAAACCGCATTAAATTTGGTATTAACGAAGTGGAAAAATAACTTGGAGCATAAAGAAACTATAGTTGCTGTTTTTTGGATCAAAAACGCGCTTTTGAAACAATGTCTAGGCCCTCATTGTAAAGATCAATCAAGCGTTTTGGAACTGTGAGTACTGCATATAAATGGTTTGTAAGCTATTTGTGTGACAGAACTCAACGGACTGTTTTAATGATTCCGTTTCCAGTCCCATGGGGAATATCTTTGGGGTTCCCCAGGGAAGTGTATTAGGGCCCCTTTTATTTATTATGTATATTAATGAAATGCGACATGTTTTACGAATTTGCAAGCTTATGGAACGACTAAAGCCGGAGAATTTCGTCCCATCAACATGTTGGATAGATCAGAGACAGTTTTAGAACTTGTTGTGAAAAGCCAGCTGTTGGAGTATATAAATAGTAATAGTAATAGTTATAAATAGTAATAGTAATAGTTAACAATCGGAATATCGGGGAGGTCATTATTGTGAAACCGCATTGTAAGCTATTTGTGTGAGAACTCAACGGACTGTTTTAATGATTCCGTTTCCAGTCCCATGGGGAATATCTCTGGGGTTCCCCAGGGAAGTGTATTAGGGACTCTTTTATTTATTATGTATGTAATACCGTCAAAATTTGGTCAAGGGAAAACGCGTGTAAATCGGTGAAATCGTTTATTTAAAAAATCAAATTAAATTTCTTTTTCAAGTTCAATTAGTATAAAATTCAGGAAAAATATTCAGTTAGGCTTCCGCTTTTCCAAATCCGAATTGCCGGGCCTTACGCTTGACCCCTGCCATCAGATTTTGTACAGCCACCTTGTCCACCTTCTTCGCCGCAGAAAGCCAGTTTGCCTTGAACTGCTGCTCGCCCTTAGCAGTTTTTTTTGGTCTTCTTTAGGTTCCGCTTGACAATAGCCCAGTATTTCTCAATTGGGCGGAGCTCTGGCGTGTTGGGAGGGTTCTTGTCCTTGGGAACCACCTGCACGTTGTTGGCGGCGTACCACTCCATGGCCTTTTTACCGTAATGGCAAGATGCCAAATCCGGCCAAAACAGTACGGAACAACCGTGTTTCTTCAGGAAAGGCAGCAGACGTTTATTCAAACACTCTTTCACGTAAATTTCTTGGTTGACAGTCCCGGAAGCTATGAAAATGCTGCTTTTCAAGCCACAGGTACAGATGGCTTGCCAAACCAGATATTTCTTTGCGAACTTTGACAGTTTCATGTGCTTGAAAACATCTGCTACCTTTCCCCTTCCTTTTGCCGTATAAAACTCCTGTCCCGGAAGCTGCATGTAGTCGGCTTTGACGTAGGTTTCGTCGTCCATTACCACGCAGTCAAACTTCGTCAGCATCGTCGTGTACAGCCTCCGGGATCGCGCTTTGGCCGTCGTATTTTGTTTATCATCGCGATTTGGAGTCACTACCTCCTTGTAAGTCGATAGTCCGGCTCGTTTTTTGGCTCGATGCACGGTTGTAGACGATACACCCAGCTTATTTGCGGCATCTCGGAGAGAGAGGTTAGGGTTTCGCTTGAAACTACCGGCAACTCTCTTTGTCGTCTCAGCGGCTTCCGGTTTTCGATTTCCCCCCGATCCAGACTTCCTGGCTGTCGACAAACGTTCCCCAAACACTTTAATTACATTTGTAACGGTTGATTTGGCAACTTTTAGCGATTTTGCCAACTTTGCGTGCGAGTAGCTCGGATTTTCGCGATGCGCGAGCAAAATTTTGATACGCTGCTCTTCTTGCTTGGACGGCATTTTGACAACTGAAGAGTGAATTCCAAAATCAAAATAGGAGCAACATTCTACACACACACACCTTCAAAATGAGGGGTGTTCAGGTTTTTTAAATGCAAAATTGAAAGAAATACGTCAAGTTGATATTGACCAAATTTTGACCGTATCACCCTTTATTAATGAAATGCGACATGTTTTACGAATTTGCAAGATTAATTAATTGCAGATGATAATTTGTTATTCATTGCAGCTAAGGATTTGGATTATGCCGTTTTACACTTGAATAAAGATTTGTATTCTCTTTGTAGATGGTTTAAGAATGAGCAGATGTGATTTAATACAAGTAAAAATAAATTTATGGAAATTTCGCGGAGTCGAGAGAACGAGCACTTCTCTGTTGTAATTGATGATGATAAATATTTATGACAAACTTAAGTTCAACTCTCACATTTAGTAGTTACTATAAAGAAAAGTTGTGTTCCAAGCACGACGAAATTATGGATTTACCAATTTTATTCTAAAACTAACAAGCATACAATTCATAGCTATGAAATGAGGCGATATTTAATTCCTTAATTGAATTCAATGCACATATTTCGAAATTCAGCTCCCATCCCATTAAAAAAAAGGTTCCATACATTAACCAATTTTTATGTACCTACTGAATAAGGTTTATTTACAGTGGTAGGAGTGAACATTCGCTTATTCAAATACATTAAACCGGTTTAAAATACTTCAAAGTATGTCACACTATTTTATTATATTTACAAAGATCTTTCAAATAGCCAGCACTGTAGTTCAATAAAAAGAAAGTCAAATACATTGTTTCATATTGATATATTTGTGTGAGTATGAACTGATCTATCCACATTTAAACAATGCTGTATTTAAACATGCAAACATTATGGTACCATTAAATATGATAAGTCTTTAGCCAGTTTTTTTTTTTTGCTAATGTTTGCCATGAAAGTTGCAAATCGTATACTGTCAAATCGACACGTTACAAACCAGTATGTTAAATTCGTGTAACATTCATTTCATAAGTAATGACGGCATTCTCAAAACAGCAGAATAAATGAAAGTCAAAGACAAAAGTAAAGTTCCACTTGGGGCGAAACTATGAAGAATTAGATGAACTTATCATCAATTCGATTGAAAGAATTATTTTTTTAAAAGGTAAACTTACCCAACGATCAATTTTAACTGCGGACTAGCTTATACAGTCAACATTTGCCTTATGCAGCTACTTGTTGCATGTATAAGCTGCGCTGCAGCGTTTGTTGGATACTTCCCTGGCGACAGATTTCTGAACTAAAATGTGAAGAAATTTTCAACTATACTGGCCACCATACAATAGGTCTTATAAATCTGATTAAGTTTGCCAAAAACAACAACCATCTTTCTAGTTGAGCTTTCAAGTTAAAGCAAGTAATTCAGAACTGTGCTGTCTACTATAACAGATCGTGTTGACAGAAACCTTCTATCTAAGCAAGCCATTAGAATCAAATAGCACTAGTGGTTTTTTTTTTCTCGAATGAGATACAGTAGGTTTTGTCATGTAGCACAATTTTACTGAAGACAGCAAACGTCTATCTAGTCGTACTGTCAAGTTAAAGTAAGCAATAAGATGTAAAAATGCACAGTAGCGTCACATGGTGAGTGAATCCTGAACTGAGCACTCCATCATCATCATAACAAGTGATTTTATCTAGTCGAGATCGCAAGTTAAAGCAATAAGAAGATAAAAAGTGTACTAAAGTCTGGAACGCGCAAAAATTGGTCAACTTCAAATTGGTGTATTTCTGTTAAAAAAGCATGAAAAAAAACCTGAAATGCTGCTTTTGGAAGTTGACAATGGTTGCTTTGATGAGTTTTCACCTTTTGCTCTCCAGTTTTCAAAATGACGTCCAAGCAAGAGGAGCCGCGTGTCAAAATTTTGCTCGCGCAGCAAGAGAATCCGACGTTCTCACAGGCAAAGTTTGCAAAATTGCTGGATGTGGCCAAATCTACCGTGACAAACGTTTTAATAAGATTTTAATAGATTTCGGGGACCGTCTGTCGAACACCATGAAGCCTGAAAGCGGCGGCAATCGTAATACGGACGTGGCAGCGACAACGAAGAAGGTGGCGGTGAAATATAAGCGAGACGTCGCTGGAAAGCTCAATGTCTCCCATGCTACTGTGCAGAGGGCCAAGAAACGAACCGGGTTGTCGACGTTTAATAAGGTGAAGGTGGCGAACCGAGATTACAAACAAAACACGTCGGCAAAGCAGCAGTCCC